CATGTAGCTGTACTTTCAGAAAGTACAGTCACTTAGAAGAGAATTAACTGAAGGAAAAAACTCCTGAAAAGAGAAAATAGCCTGGTTTTAGCCAAACCAGGACAGTAGCAATAGTAATAGTAATGAAAAGGCAGATAACAAAGACAGAGAGAGGAATAAATCCCAAGGAACACAAGTGATGCTCATTACAATGGCTCACCACCTGCTGACTGTTGCCTAGCCTGTCCCTGAGCAGCAATTGGCATCTGTCAACCAACTCACCCCAGTTTATATACGGAGCATGACGTCCTATGGTCTGGAATATGACCTTGGCTGGTTCAAGACAACTGTCCTTGTTATGCTCCCTCCCAGCTTCTTGTGCACCTTCTTGTTGGCAAAGCATGGGAAACTGAAAAGTCCTTGACTTAGAGTAAGCGTTACTTAGCAATAACTATAACAACAGTGTAATATCAATATTATTCTCATACTAAATCCAAAACCACAGCACCGTACCAGCTACTACGAAGAAAATTAATTCTAGCCCAGATGAAACCAGGACAATGTGGCATTTTCTGTGGAGGTGAATCACACACTGAGACATCCACCTTAAGTAGTGCCTGTAGGATATATTTGTATGCAAGAAACTGTGTCCTGTATTGTGACTCTATTGCCTGTAAATAGGATCTAAATAGGTACAGCAAGTCTCATTTTCCTAGCAAAGGCATCTATTTCCAGTTTCGAGACATTGTGATGTTTAGGACGATTGAACAGGTTTGGTAGACAAGACACAGGACCTATATGAGGTGCTTACCATTCTGGAGTGGTAAATAAGTGGCAAAAAAATGGAAGTTAGATGTGTTTTCTCTCCTTAATATTCTACTCTTAAGATATTTTTTTGGCCTTTCACAACTGTCCTATTGTCTAAAAATAAAAACTACTCTTAAGATCCTCCCACAACCACAATTTAAATGCCTCCAGGAAAAGTGCTAAGGGAGCTATTTTGCAAATGATTAAGAGTAACTAGGTGAAGGGAGATGCCAGGTTTTATTCCCAAGAGAGAAATTGCATGAATCATGTGACAACGTAGAGCTTTTTAGGTGTAGTCAGGGTTATTTATAGAGAAGGCAGAAATGCAAGGACAAGGGATGTATTAAAAATGAACAGGGAAACTCTCATACAGTTTCATAAAAGTATGACACCTTGAAAGTCTGATGATGTTCTACACTAGCTACACTTATTTACCAAGAAATGGTAAATGAATTAACATGGTAAGTTCTTTCAAGACCAAAAATTAATGAGGAAAAGTGGTGTTATGTTTTTCTTGAAAAAAAAATTTGCAATAAAGATTAACATATCCTCACCGTGTGGTTTAAATCAGGGTATCTTGCAGACACTGGCAGTGGAGATCTCCATCTCTCTGTCTTTCTGCCTCAATCTCATAGCTCAAAATATCTTTTACTCTCATTGTGAGGTTCAGAACTTTATCTGAAAAACACTATTCAGCACTGGCAGCTTCAGCATAACAAAACATGGAGTGTTGTTTTGGGTTAAAAATAAAGTGGAAGCGGAAAACAATTTAGGGATTTTCTTCCCACATCCCATATAGATTGTAACCAAGCTATCTTCGTTGGGACTACTTAAGGGGAAAGCTATTGCCCATGCTGAGCAACAGTATATTTTTGGTTGTTCCTACAGATAAGAACATAAAGGAGTTATGTATTTGCTTCTGTAACTCTTGAGAGTGAGTGTGTTGATGCACCTCTAGGTTAAGCATGAAGGGGATGGAAGGAAGAGTGGGGATTCTGAATCCAGATGTATAAACACACTTGTGTTTCTGTGTGATTGCGTGTGTGTACGTATAACTGCATGCGTGCAGCTCTGAGTGACTGTTTATGTGAGTTTAAATATGGAAGGGTATTTGGGGGTGTGCATCTGAATATGTTTATGTGTCAGGTTGTAGATGAATATCTAGACCTTCAAATTGAAAAATGCTGGTATTTCCCTAATCTGTTCAGGTGACTTATAAAGCTATTTGAACTACAATCAACCCATCTTATTCTATCATTCCATTGTCAATTTCTGAAGATAGTCATCTGCAACATCATCACAGTGGATTAAACTGCTGGATTTATTTTTAATTTGAGTGGAGAATGAGTAAGATCTGAATTTGGGAAACATCACAAAAGTAACTCACTTCACCCTGCTGGATTTCACCCATCTTGCCCAACTCCAGCTCTTACACTTTGTGATAATTTTTATGGTCTTCACAGTCACTGTGACGGGAAACGTTATTGTTCTCCTTGCAGTTGTTGACCCTGCCCTTCATATGTACATGTACTATTTTCTTAAAAATTTGTCTTTGATTGAGATCTGCTACAGCTAAGATATTGTCCCAAAAATGCTGATAAATTTGTTCTCAGAAAGGAAGACCTCTTCTTTCACAGCTTATACTTTGCAATTGAACTTGATCGTACTCTTTGTCACGTCTGAGTGTTTCCTGTTAGCGATCATGGCTCATGATCAACATGTAGCAATTTGCCACCCCTTACACTATGCTATCATCATGACCAAAAAGACGTGTAGGCAAATGTCAGCAGTAGCTTGGCTTTCTGGATTCCCTGTAGCAGTTGGGCACACTGGTTGGCTGTTCAGCATGACTTTCTGCAAGTCGAACAAAGTCAACCATTTCTTTTGTGACATCTCACCTGTACTTAAATTGGTGTGATCTGATACCTACATATTCGAGCTTCTGGTGTTCATTGTCGCTCTGCTTATCATAGCGCTGCTCTTTATGCTAATATCACCATCTCCTACATCTACACCGTCTATACAATTGTGCAGATGCCCATGGCTGAAAGCAGGCAAAGGGTGTCCTCCACATGTGCTGCTTATCTCATGGCTTTTACTCTCTTTTACTGTACAGCTTGCTTAATTCATTTACATCCCAAGTTAAACCTCTCACCAAATAATAAAAAGCTTGTGTATCTTTCCTGTACAGTCATTACACTGATGTTGAATCCCATCACCTACAACCTCAAGAACAGTGATGTAAGGGAAGCACTACACAGACCTTCCGGCAGAAAGATGTTATCAGAAAGATTAACAATGTTTTTCCAGTAGCAAGTTCAGAAGTTTCAGACAATCTGTAAAGTTAAACACAATTAATACAGTCCTCAGTTAAATAACAGCTGAATAAATATCCCAAATCTTGTAAAATTGTGTCTGCCTTATGCATAAGTCCAGTATGTTTTTGTTTATTCACCCTCTTCACAAACTTCCAGATTTTCCAGTTTTTTTGTTTTGTTTTTTTTTTTTTAAAAATTCACTATTATTTCCTTTGTAATATTTTTGTGACTCTGAAATAAAATGGAAGGAAAGAAAAAACATAATCATATATATCCTGTTTTGAGATTCTTATCTGCTTTGCTTTCCCATCATTTACAGATGTTAGTTGGGATAAGTCATCTCCACAAGATCAACTCCTACTGAGTTTTAGCTGCCTAAAATTATACCTTCAGGTCTAAGTCAATCAAAGAATAATCCCTTTATGGGTAATGGGAAGAAACAGTCACTGCTGGAAGGCAATCCTGCTCTAAGTTACCTGTCAAAGATAAATAGAGGAATTATCCTTTAAGAGTATCTTTTTCTCATCGACTTAAGAATGAAGACTAACATAGCTATCAGAGATGTTAATTTCTAGTTACAATAATTCAGCCAGGGTGACTGGATTAGATTTAAATGTCTAACAGATGAAGTTCACAAACCGCAACTTTTTGCTTTCTGATTTCTTTGGCAATGGGAAAGCAATCAGAAATGCATTTCTATCATAAAGAGTGTGCAGACCAGCTTTAAGGTACAGAGGTGATTCATACACATACGTATATAAAGAGAGACTATATAAGTATATAGATTTACACATGTATATATACACACATATGTATTTTTACATACTGGTGTCTATACTGGTATTTATATATATATGAAAATGTATGATAAATCATGTTTGCCTTGATGCATTTTCCTAAGAGCATCCAACCTAGAGACCACTGACTGGTCCAAGAGTCAAGTGCTGCAACTAACCAGCATTCACACCCTTCAGAGCAAATACTGTCTACAGAGGATTATACAAATCACTAATGTATAGCTCTTGGACAGTGCCTCCATGGTTCATTTCTTTAGTGTTTTTACAGTAAAAAATGCAAGAAACCCTATGAGGACTGCGTGGTACTCAGTCATAATATGTGTGGTACTCATTCATAATAATATTATAACATTGTGATATGAAAAGTATATGTTTCACACATTGATATAGGCATGGGAAGAACTGAAAATGTTGTTGAGTAGAAGCTGTGGGGTGATGGTGATACACTGTGATCTTTTGTGTTAGTTTATATGAAAAAGCTCCTCTGCACACCCACAAAGGAGCTGAAAGAGACAATGGCAGGAAGGGAGTTCAAATAATAGCCTGCTGGGCTATGCCCAGGCCCATCACAGGGGCCGTTAAGCCACCAAAGGCTCATTTGCCCAAGCCCAGAGGAACACAGGTATGCACTGTGGTGGTGGGAACCCAAATCAAGGACTCCTGAGAAAGGAGTGCTACATCCAGACACCTCCCAAGGCTATCCTAGCAAAGCTATCAGCCCCATTGTCCGGGTATGGCACCCACCACCTCGAGTCATTGGGAGCAGCTTTCCAGATCACCTTTGCGACTAAGGGGCATTGCTGCCTACGGCTAGGACTCATTATGAGATACAGGGGAAAAGCAGTTTGGGATCATACAGGACTTAGTATGGGATACTTAGGGGAAGAACCAAAGGCAGGACAAGGGAGGGGTCTGGGTGATTTGATAAAGAACAATAGTGGGAAAACAGAGAGGGAAGACGATAAAAAAGGGCTGGTCATGTCTAAATGGTTGGCTTGTCGGTGCACCTGTCTGGCCATGTCCTGCCCTGATCAGCAGAGTCTGTCCTGTCTTATAAAAATCCTTTCTGATTCTGTCCTGAGTGAGAGTTCCCTACGCAGTGTGCATGTATGTGTATGGGGGTGTGAGTGCAGCACCTGGAGACAGACCATGGGTCAGAAGGTTCATGTGTCCATGGGGCAGAGATTGGAGTGAGTGCAGATGTGCAAGTATGTGATAGCTCGGAAAAATCAACCCAGACGTGCTGGTGTGTAGATTAAGTAACCTGGAAGGAAGGGGGTGAAAGAGTTTCTAAGGGCAGCTCTTGATATGAGAGCACCTATGTGTCTATAGGGGACGAGAGCACAGGGGGAGTTAGCTATAGGACCAGGGGAATCCTGGTGGGTTCTGGGTGTGAGAGTGCCTGTGAGTCTACAGAGGTGAGAGCACAGCAGGGTCAACTATTGGGACCTGGAGAGTCCTGGCCAGATCTGTATGTGTTTGCAGCAAACTGTACCAGCAACTAGAGCAGGGTTGTGTGAGGCCACAGCCTCATATGTCCAGATGCCAGCAACTGGGATCCAGGGGTCAGCTACTGGGCAGACTATCTGAGCCCAGCTACTGGAGGGATGCACCTTGTACATATTTATATATGTATATGTTCTCACCAATGCACTTCCGTTCTGTCTAGCTAGAGAGGGCAGCAGGATGAGGCCGTTGATGCTGTCTGTGTTTGTGTGAGTGCTCTGCGTGTCTGTATGTGATCCATCTGGTATGAATAGATGGAGATATACATCTCTATATGTAGTATACCTGGGTGAATTTGTGTGTGCCCCTGTTGGGAATACATTTTCAGCCTCGCTACTGGTTAGACCTGGGGACATGTAACAGCAGCAATTTCACCTCTCCCAGGCTAGTGGATGTGGGATGTTATATTTTGCTCTAACATTTTAAGCATAAAAACCTGACATCAATAATTTTAAATCCTAATATGTATTATGCCATTCAAGCGAGGCTGCCACAGTGGAAGAGTATCTGTATTCCTATTAGCTAAATCTGCTTGCAAGAACAGACGCATGTACTCACTGTCATCTCGTAGCCTTTGTGACTTATCAATTTCAGTAGCCCACAGTGCTGCTTTTTTGTTTTTCAAGACACTGAAGTCTAGGGGTGGATTTCTGTCTAATGCATTTGAATCTACCATTGATTTTCAGGCAGCAATTTCCTACAGGTATGCTTTTTTCCTTCCCAATTACACAGTCTGTAACCTGTGAAAATTCATTATATCCCATCTTTAGACACTGAACAGTGTTGCTCTTTTAAAATCAGTTTTGGTATTGTTGTTCCTCCAACCCTTCACAAGTGTTTTTCTTGTGCAAGACCAAAAACCTACTACAGCTGCGTGTCTTACTTTATGCAGAGGCCTGAACAAGCCAGACCTTCAAAGATCAATGCTACTCCAACAGATCCCACAGATTATATCTGTTCAGTATCATGCACCAACATTCTATGATACTTTCTGCAAAAAGAGCACACATTCATTCTCAGCAAGTTTGTGGGTTTCCTAGCACGGGTGGGGGGGGTGTGGCAGAGCACAGCAAGAAGCAGCTAGCAGTTTCCAGGCTTCATCAGAGAATGCCCAGGATGAGTTCTAGTACTTTTTGTTGTCTCAGCTATCTCATTAGGACTTGCGTGTCTGGAAATTTATTAAGTTTCCTTAATTTTCTCTTATCTGTCCCCCCCCAACCCTCCCCTTTTAACGCTGGATAGCCTCTAACCAGATATATCACAAACTAGACCAACTTTTTACTCCAGCTATTTTTACAGAAAGCACAGTGAAATAGACTCATCAACATTGACAGAGATTTAAGAAATGAATTACTCCTCAGGCTAGCAGTTTAGCCTTTAACCCTTTTTCTGCTTCCTCAGCCCTTGAACGAGGAGTTAAACATGAATGTGTCCTTTCACTCCTGGCTAGGAGCTGATAGACAGTGCTGTTCCCTTGTTCTTCTTTGCATTACAAAGATACATCTTGGGGATGTGCGAAGGAAATGTGTTAAAGACTTGCCTATGAATGCATCATTTTTGCCTTGCCTCTCCTTGCTTTCTGGACCTGGAGTGTTGTGCTGCTTGTTCCTTGTTGTGCTGTTTACCCACACTCCTTGCAAGACAACTGAAACCTAATCTGTACCATATAATTACACATTTTCACCTGTGAGTAGTTCCTTCTAATTTTTTCCCCTACTATTACCACAACCCACACCCTTCACATAAGTTAGGAGTTTTATCTGAAATTCTTTTTTAAGAAGTTTCTACAACCTCAGGGTGGGAAAACCAAATGCAAAGAGAAGCTTATGTTATGTCTGAATAAAGCCTGAAAGCATATGTAAAAATATATGCTATATATTTATATATAGATGTTTATTTTTATCTAGCTATTTAGCATATATAAAGCTAAACAGAAATGGCTGCAACTCCCTATAAAAGCCCTTTCATGTGTTTTGTTGGTAATGTTGTTCTAAATAGACTGCTCTCCTGCTTCTCAACCCTTTGAGCAGATTAAGACATCATGTTGTTCCCTTGATGAAGTAAAGGAAAAACTGTATTTCAAATACTTAGGCTTTTTCTTTGTAGTCAATTGAGAGTCTCTTTAATTTCCCTGCAGAGATTTTCCCATGTGGTTTGCACAGTTCTCACTCTCGCTGCACTTATTCACTGGGATGTGTTAATTGAAGACAAATCCTTAAACGATACATTAGAAAAAACTGTATATCCTATATGTGCTTGTGCACAGTCCATGGTAACAGGAGATGAGATGGCCATTTCTAGAATTAGGCCTTCTTTACATTTTCCACTTGTGGTAATTTGAACACAGAGTCATGGCAGGAGTAAGGAATTGGGAAAGCGACATTACAAGAGAGAACTGGCGTTGTGTAAGGGGGATTCAGGCTACCCATGAGCAGCCCTGGATTCAGTCCGATCTGTGCTGTATGGGAAATGACCTCTAGTGGAAATTAAACCACTTCATATGATCTATTAATTGACAATCCAAACATCAAATATTGTGGAAGTATTTTACCTTTTGAGTTTAGATGCCTAAATTGAAACATCTGGTTTCAAACTGAAACCTACTCTACATTAAGCCAGTTGAATTCCATTAGAAATTTAAATCTGGAATTTATTAGAGCTTCAAGTGAGCACAGATGCCATCACCAGCCTCATCTAGGACCTTCATTTGCTGCCTATAGCTCCAGCAGCTCCACATAAGCTCAGGCCTGAATGTTCTTCCCCCTACCTCCTCTTCCACTTCTGTGAGTTGTGTTGAAGCAGTTCTGTGCCCTGTTGCCTGCTCTTCTTGACTTGTTTCTAGGCTTCCTGGATTGACCTTGGACCTGACTTGTCATCTTGTGTTTATCAGATGATCACTGGCCCTCAAAGGAACCTGCTAATGTCACTGGCTCTGTTCTGCTTGCCTTTTGTATGTGCCGCAGGATTGCACCCTGTCTGAGAGGTCACTGCCTCTGCCTGTGTTTTGGACACCCCTGTCTCCTGGTTAGTCCTGTCTCGTGGAGAAACATCATTCTTGCTGCTCTCTGTAGCACTATATATGTGTTATGCCAAGGCACGTGAAAATCAAACATGTAAACACTGAATAACCTCTTATTGTAAGTGAAGTATTTTTTGTTTCTCAAAGGAAAAAGAAAATATTTGCACTGATTTTTTAGTTATCTTTTGCTGCCCATCTGAAAGGTATTATATTTAGTGCATTTGACTTCTTGTGGCATTTAGTCATTGGGAGTCAAATTCACACTACCTGGAGGTTGAGAAGTTAGCTGATAAAGGTAGTAATTTAGTCTCCCTCTGTAGTCAGTGAAGTGAGATCAGTACCCTAAGAAATTAATTTTACTTTAAAAGAGGCACCTAAAACTAGGGAATAGGTCATCTTTTGGGGGTGCCTGTTTTCTCTTCATTGACTACAGAGAAAGCCAAATGCATCTGCTTCAGAATTAGGAAAAGTAAGTGAGGCAGTATCCATCCTGCCACTGGAAGATGGATCAGGATGATGGCATTTCTCTGCTTCATGCAGCATCTTGTGAAGTTTCTAGTGATGTACACCATTATGCCCATAAAAATTACTAAAGAAGCATTTGGAGGTTAATTGTTCCTTTCTTCAGACTCGCTTTGATATTTTTGCACTGTTGCTGTTGATTTGGTATTGCCAAGCAGCACAGACAAAGCATTACATACTTGCACCATCACTAGAAATGCTCGTTAACAGAGATGTCAAGTGGGAGTCTATTTGCTTGGGTATGGAATAAATGATTAAACAAGGGAGAAACAAAGTCAAACAGCAAAGGGATCATTAGCCCCAGAGCATCCAGTCAGAAGCGTGCAGGTAGTTTTACAGAGAATTGGAGTGTACATAAAGCATTCGGGAAGAGAAGACAGGTCAGAAGAGATTGTGTTTCTGTCTGTGACTCACTAAATGGGGACGAGGAAGGAAAAAGTGAAGGTTTTTCTGAAATTGTCATAAGGTAAGCATGCCTTTCACTTCCTGATTGGCTTATTTCTTTATCTGCAGCCACTAGGAATGTGATTGGCCTTTCTTTCTTTATAGGATTTTAGGCTTCAGAATATACAGAGAATAGAAGGGTAGCAACTGTGATGACATTTTTTAATTGAAAAAAACTGTTTGATGGGAGACTAAGGAAGAACATATTAAGAAGTCTGACTTGACAAAAAAGAATATTCCTGAGACATGCAAAGAAGTACAATACATTGGGAGAAATCAATATGGATTTTCTAAAGACTTGAGTTTCTTGACATTGTAAACAAATAGGTAGACAAAGCAAATTCAGTTATTACATTCTATTTGGATTTCCCCAGAGCCTTTCGTAGAAATGAAGCCATCCTACAATAAACGGAAAGAGCCTTAATTTCATTGGGGGAAAAAAAAAAATCAAACATGTAAAACAGCAGTAAATGAATACTCATCACATGAGAAATAATTCACTAGACAAATTCATGGACTCTGATGTCCAAGTTCATTGTATTCAAGATACTCATAAACATTCCTAAAGGATCTGGAAGATGAATGAGTAAGTGAACTCAGTTGCGGAGACCTCCAGAAAGACTAGATTACTTGAGTCACTATGTTTGCTAAGACGGCAGGTGGAATTTCATAAAGACAACTTGGAAGTGCTGCATCTGAGAAGCAGTAATGATCCTAGGCAGATAAACTGCTCTTCAACCATAAGGAGACTACATGCTCTCTGTACTCCAAGAATGGGATTGATAACATCTCCTATGACTATGATAAGAACTTAGACAAGTATCTCACATGACAATATATATTTTAAAAACAATCTGGTTTGAATCTTACCTTTGTTTTTTTAACATGCAAAAGCATACAAAAGCTTGGTGCAATTAATCCTATCTGCATCTAAGTGATCTGTTAAACATCGAAGGAATCTTCCATGTGTGCAACAGAATAAAGATCTCTAAAATTTTAAAAGTCAAATTAAATTACTGTGAATACTTTGAGATAAGACTCATCTCATTTCATTTAGACATCTAAAAGATAACTGTAAATGTCTGAGAAAGCTATCAACGGTTCCCTGTGGAATCAATGAGAGAGGGACCTCCAGAAAGTAATCCTGGAGAAGCTGAAGTGCTAAAACAGAGGAACCTAGGGCCACTTGGGATGTCCAGGAGTTATTTTTCTGCAATTCAGGTGCATTACTTACGACTGACTTCCTCAAGACTGACTTCTATAGCATGCCCAGGTTATATCTATCAGCACATGTAGATATCTCCGATACTTGGAAATATCCAGTGACTACAGAAAATTAGGCTGTTACCTGACTACGCTGGTTTTAGCTGGGATAGATGTAATTTTCTTCAGAGTAGCTCATATGGTGCTCTGTTTTGGATTTGTGCTGAAAAGAGTGTTGATAACACAGAGATGTTTTAGTTACTGCTGAGCAGTACTTACACAACATCAAGGCCTTTTCTGTTTCTCACAGCACCCTGCCAGTAAGTAGGCTGGGGGGTGCACAAGGAGCTGGGAGGGGACACAGTTGGGACAGCAGACACCAACTGACCAAAGGGATATTCCATACCATATAACGTCACACGCAGCAATAAAAGGTGGGAGAAGAAGAAGGAAAGGGATGACACACGGAGTGATAGCGTTTGTCTTCCCAAGTAACCGTTAAGCATGATGAAGCCCTGCTTTCCTGGACATAGCCTGCCAATGGGAAGTAGTGAATGAATTCCTTGGTTTGCTTTGCTTGTGCACATGCCTTGTTCTTTAGCTATTAAACTGTCTTTGGCTCATCTCATGAGTTTTCTCACTTTTACCCTTCCGACTCTCTTCCCCATCCCACCAGGTGGAAGTGAGCAAGTGATCGTGTGGCACCTAGTTGCCAGCTGGGGTGAAACGACAACACTGATTGATTTAAAACAGATCATCTGAAGATACCTATCTGTCTACCCATCTAACACAGAGGGAGATTTATCTTATCTGCTTCTGCTCATTGATTATGCAAGCAGCCTTGGGCCAACCTCTCTGACTTAGAAGTCTAAATCATAGATTATTTTTGTATTTAGAAGAAAATAAGGGACTATAATTCCAAATTTATGCTCAGATTTCAGTGTTTGCTATTCACAATTGAGTTGTCTGATTCCTTTGGACCTTAGCTAGTAATCTAAAATTTAAGTTTGCTAGACAGGTTGAATGAAGAAAACTAACCACAGACAACTGCAACATAATCGTGTACCTTTGAGCTAGTTATTACTTGCTATCTTAAAGTTAGGGGAGACTGAGCCTATAGAGTCATTGGACTTTTATGGCAAGAGACACCGTATCCTGAAAGAGAAAGGTAACGTAAGTCAGACCAATCACTGCTAACAGTCTATTTCCAACATAAAAGGAAGTTTTGAATACTAATTCTGATGTGAATATCTATGCTGCCAGTGTCTTAAATTAGATAAAATTAATCCTGGAGGCAGTGATAGTTTCACTGGGAGTATGGAAAAGGCTTTGCGAAGACAGCATGACTTTCTCACTGTTAATTGCCCTAATTTTGTGGTTCCTAGTCAGTAGTGTGTGTCCAGATGAAAAACATGGCATCCAGGTAGATAAAGCTTCTATTTTTAAAAGTTTTTAAAGTTTTTCAACTAGTTTCAGACTTAATTTTAAAATAATCATTGTAGGTTATGTAATAAAATTAATAGTTTTTTTATTTTCTTAAACACAGATAATCTCTCTGAGGATCTCTGAATAGAAAAGGCATTTTGTTTAGGATATAAATAGAGAATTAGCAGGATTTAACTCTGCCCACTGAACATCTTTAAAAAAAGCTTTATATACTGAAAATAAAGTAAAAGCTGAACATTAAATACCTTTATTTTTCCAAGCTGATAACAAGAGAAATGACTTTGTTACCTTTCTTACTAGCTACTTGGCCATATAGCATGTTTGCTTGATGCTTAGAAAGTTATGATAAGATAGAGTAAATCAATATTTGACTCTTACAGGAAAATGATATCTCAAGAGATGGAACTGAAAAGCACAAGAAAATGACATATTTCCATTGTACATAATGAAATCTTTCTTGAACTTCAAAACAAACACCTGTGACTGAACGATTCCTGTTCTCTGCACAATCACTATGACCTGGCTTTTCCAAAGCATCAAAGAAATGTTCACTGAGAGTGTGTAGTACCAAGTACAGATTTTTTCTTATCTGACATGAAGGCTGTAAATCAATTTTCCTTTTTTTTTTTTTTTTTTTTATTTTATCTTTTGACATCTGAATAATAGTTTAAAAACAGGCTAAGTCTTTATGTTCAACATATGGAATTCTATATGGTACTTCTGATTTTAGACATGTATTTTGTGTGATCTCAATAACTTCTGGAAGGGAGACAGATGAATCTTGACTCTGATAGGGAAGGCAATGGAGAGCAGCCTCACATACATTAAGTTAGCTGGCATAAATACCCTCTTGGGAAACCAGGACTTTTATTTGCAATCTTTCCAGGGAATTTCATATAGAAGATTCCTCCTCTTATGTTAATTTACATACCTGCACTAAAATTTGATAGACTCTTCTCAAAATCTCAAAATATTTTCATGGACTTTACTATAACTGTTATAGTCATGAGAAGAGCAAAGCAGGAGAACGAAACAACTCTTGTGGAATTCGTCATCCTCGGCTTCCAAAATGTTCCAGAAGTACAGTTTATCCTCTTCTTGATGTTTCTAGTGATCTACATTACAACTGTGTTAGGGAACATCCTGATCATGGTGCTGGTTGTGACTGATCATCACCTTCATAACCCCATGTTCTTTTTCCTGGGGAATCTGTCATTCTTAG